GCCCCCACCCTCTGGAACGAACTACCCCCCGAGATCCGGACGATTCCGGATCTCCTATCTTTCCGCCGCGCCCTCAAGACATGGCTTTTTCAGCAAGCGGGTCTGGCCTAGGGAGAATTTTAAATAGGGACAATTTTAATTAGTATTTTAATATGACACAGCGGTAAATATTTGTTTTTAATTGGTTTTTATTGGGGATTGTGTTTTGTACTGTTTTAATATGCTGTGAGCCGCCCTGAGTCCTGTTGGGAGAAGGGCGGCATATAAGTTTAATAAAATGAAAAAATGAAAAAAATACCACCAACCATGGTATTCTTCTGGATCAGTTCTTGTCATGGCCCAGGACTCAGACTCTGAAGAAGCTATTCCAGCTGAACCAGTGGAATGTTATCCTCAGGAGACCCTAAGCCAGGAATCACCTGAAGCTGATCTTACTTGGGCACCATCAGAACAGCTGCAACAGTCAGTTGATGATGTATGGGCTCCAAACTTTCAGAATTGGCAAGTAGAGCAGACAGCAGAGCAAAGAAGCTCAATGAGGCTCCTTGACAAGCAAGAGAGTAATTCTCTTAATTAAAGACAGCTGGCTGCAGCCTGATTTCAGACACAACACTAATACATTTCTCCATTGAAAACAACTGTCTGTCCTGCTCTAGTTTGTCATTCTTGTGAATCTCTGACCTTGGCCTGGCAGACAAATCTGACTTGGCTCTCTGAACTTTGGACTGGATTTGACTACTTTTCAATGTGCTTCGTTTGAAAGCAAAACCACCCAGACAAGCTTTCTTTCCAATAGACTTTGTTGATTACAGTTTCTTCTTTGTCTGTTGTGATCTGCTCAGACTTTAGTAAATTGCTTTCTTCACCTAGCAACTATGTGAGTTTGAGACCTGAAACAGAACAGCTTCAGGGATAGGATGTGGGTGACACTTTATTGTGCTGGTTCTCTCTCTTCAGCTGGGACACTTCCATGCACTGTTGACTGGCTGGGAGAGGTCTACACTGGGCTTTTATTTTGTAGAGTGCCATACATTTTGTTATTTTTTTTCCTCTCCGGTTTAACATCCAGATAAAGCTGCTGGGTGAGATAATGTGAAGTATGCTGATGATACCTAGCTTTATATCTCTGCCCCTGGCTTACTAAGTGAAGCTGTGGAGGTCCTGGCTTGATGCTTGGAGGCTGAAGGGGAAAGCAGCTTCAAACATGCATGATTGATATCAGCTCTTCAAGGCAGACCAGACTAGTATGCCAGAATTATGAACGCTAATACTACTTCTACTATCATATTACTGAAGAAGGGAAAGAGACTTACTCAAATTACAGGTAGTCCTCGATTTACAACCACAATAATGCCCAAAATTTCTGTTGCTAAGCAACAGTTGTTAAGTGAGTTTTCCCCATTTTACAACTTTTCTTGCCACACTCATTAAGTGAATTGTTGCAGTTGTGAAGTTGGTAACACAATTATTAAGCGAATCTGGCTTCCCCA